CCTTTCATCAGAAGCGAAGAAGAGTGAAGAAAACTAAGGGCATTTGGAAACAATCACCCCTAGGATATGAAGGACCTGGAGACCAGAAGAACTAAATGGTGCCTGGCTACCAATGCCAACCACTCGGGAAGGAATCAAAACTGGAGATCCTGGATAAAGTGGGAGGAAAACCGTGGAACAAAATTCAAAAACACAGTAATGACCAGAATTATTGGTTGGATAGAGTCTGGTGAGACTCCCAAGACTATTACCCTGGGATATACTTTGGGTTTGGGATAAGATTCATTCCCAAGGGCTGGCTTTCAGCCCAACAGTAATAAGACTTACACGCAGAACACCAAACCCAGGGCAAGGCACCCATCTACTCTACAGAGATACATCCCTTGGAGCAATCGGCCATGGGGGCACAGAGGAGCAACATTCACGTGAAGGAAAAGCTGGAGAGACAGGAGTGCATAACTAAGAAGGGCACAGGGATGGGGGGGTTCACTGGGAAGGGAGAAGAGGAGAGTGGGTTAGGGTTGGAGATGGTAATTGGGGAGTGAAACCAAATGTACACTAACTGTTGAATGTAAAACAAATTCTGCTCTGTAAATATGCACCCAAAGCCCAATAAATAAACAAATATTCAAATAAATAAATAAGGTGTGCCTGAGCCAAGCCACAGTATTTTCAATAGCCTCACATGCATGTGAAAGCTGGACAATGAACAAAGAAGAACAAAGAATTGATGCCTTTGATATGGTGTTGGTGAAGAATATTGAATATACATGGACTGCCAGAAGAGCAAACAGACATGTCTTGCAGGAATGCTCTTTAGAAGTGAGAATGGCCAGACTTCATCTCATGTACTTTGGATATGTTATCAGGAGGGACTAATCCCTGGAGAAGAATATCATGCTTGGTAAAGCAGAAGGTCAGCAAAAAAGGGGAAGACCCTCAACAAGATGGATGGACACAGTGGCTGTAACGATGAGCTCAAGCCCAGAAATGATTATAAGGACAGCACAGGATCAGGCAGTATTTCATTCTGTTTCCATAGGGCTGCTATGAGTCAGAACTGACTCAACGGAACCTAACAATAAAGTATGGTATTCTTGCCAAAATAAACAAACAAAAACCAAAACCTGAATCTCATCAAGTCTCTAGATCTAACTACTAATTTAGAGAAAATACAGGCAACTGAGGAATATGTTAAATAATACTACAAGGACATATTAGCAAAATTTAGACTAAATCTGCAGGACAAACAACTCAGAATCATTAAGTAAGCTGCAAAAAAGAGGAGTAGTAGAAACCTATAAATTAAGAAACTTAATCTTAAATCTCTAAGAGAGTTAAACATGTCAACAAGTTGAAAGGAGGGCTCTTATTAGGAATTAGATTTTAAAAAATAAAATGAAAAGAAAATCATAGTACAATCAGTGAAATTTGAACACTGGATATTTTATACTATTAATGAATTATTTGTAACTTTTACACATATCACTAAAACATACCTTAGCAGAATATTTTATAACCTGAAAAGATTTGTACAGGTATTCCCCAACTTATGATATGTTTAAGTTATGATGACCTGTACTTATGACCATCTGTTTTGTTTTATATATTGTGGTGTAGTAAATTACATGGTATAGCTTTTCTAGCCATAGTCTTTGTAACTCCCACTTTGCTGTGAGCAACTGAGTAGCTGCTTGTTAAAGTCATCCACCTGGAGAAGCACAAAATAATCTTCTGGGAAAGTTCGTTCTCTCTCAGGTGTGTAGATTTCTAGATGTTGGGGTTGGTTAGTTTCGCCACTCTGCCAGGCTTAAAATAAGCCCTCCTAGAGGTAGAAAGGAATCTCTCTCATTGTGAGCTGAGAGAGACTCTCACGCTGCTGAGAGAGAAGCACAGTTGAGAGACTGAGAGCGAGATGGATTGACAGAGTGGCTGCAATGATGGACTCAAGCATAGAAATGATTATAAGGATGCCAAAGGATCAGGCAGTATTTCATTCTGTTGTACAGAGGGTTGCTATGAGTCAGAATTGACTCGATGGCTGAGAGAGTGCTGGCTGAGAGAAATTGCCAGCTGAGAGACTGCTGGCTGAGAGAGACTGAGTATGTTTCTGAATTTGAATTGTAGCCTGTTGCTTTCCTAATATACCCCACAATCTGTGAGTTCTGCATGGTCACTGCAGTGAATTATCAAACCTAGCAGAGAGGTGGTGGGTGCTGTGAGAGGGATGGTTGGTGTCAAGGTTGGTAAGAGGGCTGGATGGTGGCAGCATGTCTGGCCTCATGGGAATAGGCCTTGGGTTGCTGATGGTGACTCTGTCTTGCTCTTGTATAGTTAGAGAAGGTCAGAAGATGCCGCCTCCTTGCCCTTTTAGCATATATCTTATTGTTAGTGATATGTACTATATACATACAATGTTGCATGGAATTTGCTGATGTTATCATTCTCAGATGGTCACCTGCAGAATGTTCAAAGATTGGATTTATAAAGATACTGATAATAAAAGGTAAAAATAATGAAAACTTAAAAAAAGAAAAAAAAAAAAGAGGTAATCTACTTATGTCAGAACTGACTTATAATGGAGTTGTCAGAATGAAACCCTGTGGTAAATCAGGGATTACCTGTATTACACTGTTAAGTGAGAAATGCAAATTGCAAAACCATATGCATGGAATAGTTTCACTTCTGTAAACCTCCTATATCTACATATTTACCATGGATATATTTAGATATCATATATATACTTAGAAAAGTAATTGTGAGAATATAAAACAACAATGGTTGTACGTTGGTAGGGTAGAAAATTGTTTTTTTTTTTTTTTAAGTTCATTTTCTTCTTTTCTCCTTATGTACCAAATGATTTGTTGCAATGAGTAAATAACATTTTACAGAAAAACATTTTTTAGGTGTGATACAGTATTGTGAGGAGCTCTGGTAGCATAGTGCCCAAGGCACCTGACTGCTAACCAGAAGGGTAGAGGTTCAAACCCACCAGCCACTCCTCAGAGGAAGATGGGGCAATCTACTTCTGTAGTGATACTGCCTCAGAAACCCAAGGAGGGGTCATTATGAGTTGGGTCCAACTCGAGGGCACATCACAACAACAACATGGTATTGTGGCTATATTTTAAAAAAGTCCTTATCAATTTAGAGATCCGTAATGAATTTTTTACAGATGAAGTTATATGATATCTGGAATATGTTTCATAATTATCAAGGCTAGGGGACATGAGTGGGGATACAAAAGAAAGAAGACTGCCCATGAATTGATAAATTATTGAAGCTGGGTAACAGGTACATGTGGATTCATTACTCAAGTCTCTCTACCTTCATAGAGGCATTTGCCTTTTAAAAAATGCCTAAAAGGGGACATCAAACACAATTGGCATAACATAAACTACATAAAACATTGTTCCACCTCCTACTTTAGCAAGTAGCAACTGGGATCTTAAAAGCTTGCAAGCAGCCACCTAGATGCAATGATGGGTCTCTCCTCATCCAGAACAAAGAAGAATGAAGAAAACCAAAGATTCTTGGAAACAATTAGTCCTAGTGATTGGTATACCATGCGATCTGCAGCCTATACGACTATGAACCCAGAAGAGCTAGATGGTGTCCAGCTACCACTGTTAACCACTCAGAGAGGGATCTATGTAGGAGATCCTGGATACAGAGGGAGAACAATGTGGAACAAAACTCAAAATTATTTGGAGGGAAAAAAAAAAAAAGGTGGGGACCAGGTTTGCTGGTCTGATAGAGCCTGGTAGAACCATTGAGACTATGGCCCCTAGCTGTCCTCAGGTCTGGAATTAAACCCACACCTGTGGCTTCCAGCCAAACAAAAGACAGGCATATGAGTTGAACATTTACCTGAGGTAGACACTCCTTGGAGAGAACAATCATGGGAGAAAGAGGGCTGTTTATGCACAGGGAGACAGCTCAGGGGACAGGGGTGCATGGAGGGATGGATACAGGGAAGAGGTGACTATTGGGAGGAAGTGGGAGGGGAGCTGTTGCACTGTGGTGAACTGTGGTCAATCTCATGAGACAAAGTATATGTGAACTGCTGTATAGAAAGTGAATTTGCACTGTAAATTTTCACCTAAATCACACACACACACACACACACACACAAAACAGGTATTAAAAAAAAAAATGCCTAAAAGTACAGACTCTCAGGCTCTATTTCTCAAATGACTCTCATATAGTGAACCACTGAACTAGATGACAGGTAATAGCTTTTTTAGTGTAAAATTCCTCAATTATTTTCTATATAATTCAATTAACTGGATTTTATTTATAGAAATAACTTCATTTTATTATAAAGAGGCAACAATCTCCAGGGCTAATTTTGAGAATTAAGTGAGGTAATACCCATAATGATTGCCTGGCACATGACAGAAAAAAGTCAAATATTTCACAGGAAGTTACCCCTCTAAGTTATTCACTGCTTAATGTAAATTATCTACATAAAATTACTCATCATATACAGTTGAGACTGAAGGAACAATGTGAAGAGGAGGATTTGTGGAGGCATGACAAGTGAAAGACGAAGATATCATATTAGAATAAAGGGCTTATGTCAGTAGAAGTGGTGTACAAAGATGCAAAAAGGAAAATATGGGGCTGGTGAGGTAGGGAGGCAGAGAGGCCCCCTGGGGAAAGGGGTAAGCTGCAAACCAAGGTGGCAGGAGCCACTTTGATTTTATTTAAAGACCTGGTGACATCACTGTATCTTGGAAGTCCTGAGGGTAACCACTAAAAGAAAAGAGGAATACTTATTTGTACCCCAAAATCCCAGAGTCATCAGGTACAGGAAAGGTAAGCTTCTCTGGTTCCCAGCGGAAGAATAAGCAGTGGGCACTCTGTGGCCCTTACCCACAGGACAAAGGAGGGTTGGTAAAGATGCTTGCTGGTTTACAGATCTGCTGTTCTTTTGCTACTTAGCCTTCATGTCTTCTTTATTCCTACATGCTTTCCTTCTCCACCCACCAGATTACCTGTTGCTGGTAGAAGTTGTTGGCATTTTGTTCAAACCGTTCATCTTTGGTTTCCACAGTTTTCCCCAACTTCTGCAGTACCTGGGAAAGTCAGTCAGAAAGACCCAAAGGTTATAGTCAATTCTCTCTTATCTGTTGGGTTCATATGACCCTGGCTCTCTATGACCCTCTCTCAGATGCAACTGAACTATTATATTCTTATCAGGACAACGAATTTGGAATGTAACATCTTGCTCTTAAAAAAATAATTCTTTCTACATATGTATTTGTATGTGCTGTACGACTGGCCATATAACTAGAACTAACAGGGGGCAAAGTTACGATAACCATCCTGATGGAGCGAGTTGTTGGACCTGTGGGCTCAGGACCATGGTTGCATGGTTGCAGGGGACATCAAGCTCAATTGGCATAACGTACTACACAAAAACATTGTTCTACATCCTACTTAGGAGCTCTGGTAGGATAGTGCCTAAGGCACTTGACTGCTAACCAGAAGGCTGGTGGTTCAAACCCACCAGCCACTCCTTGGAAGGAAGGTTGGGCAATCCTACTTCCGTAGTGATACTGCCTCGGAAACCTAAGGAGGGGTCGCTATGAGTCGGGGCTGACTTGATGGCATATAACAGCAACAGCAACAACAACAACAACAACAACATCCTACTTTGGTGAGTAGCGACTTGGGTCTTAAAAGCTTACAAGTGGCCATACAGATGCAACACTGGGTCTCTCCTCATCCACAGCAAAGAAGAATGAAGAAAACCAAAGACACATGGAAGCATTTAGTCCAAGGGATTAGTGGACCATGCAAACCTCAGCCTATATGACCATGTGACCAGAAGAGCTAGATGATGCCAGGCTACCACTGTCAACCACTCAGAAAGGGATCAGTGCAGGAGATGCTGGATAGAGTGGAAGAACAATGTGGAACAAAATTCAAAATAATTTAAAAAAAGACCAGGTTTATTGGTCTGATAGAGCCTTGTGAGACCCAGAGACTATGGCTCCTAATTACCCTTCAGGTCTGGAATTGAACTCATTCCCGTGGTTTCCAGGCAAACAATAGACAGGTATACAGGGTGAACACTTACATCAGGTAGTGTGGTGGTTAAGTTTGTGTGTCAACCTGGCTGGGCCTGGTTGAGTGGCTGGGCAGCTGGATGTAGTACTCTCCATGACAAGACTGCTAATCAACTCCATGGTGTAATCTACTCTGTGCAGCTGAGTAGGTGCCTTAGGGTTATGGTCTGCTTCCCGTATATAAGCAGCAGCTTTGGGAATGGTCTCTAGCTTATGGCATGCCTGAACTTGCATGTAGCCGAGTCGTCGTTCAGCAGTCTGCCATGCTCTGCCGACCTTGGGACTTTCAATGGACTTAAATTAATGGCCTGCCGTGTGGTTTGGTAACATGGGGACTGTGCCTTTTTACTTGTCAATCTTGAGCTTGTCAGTCTCAGCAGCCAGCAGCTGTCTGAGTGAAGAAAGGCCTCTAGCTTCAGTGGGCCAGGAGCAGGAGGCAGAGCTGAAGCCTGAGGTTGAGGGGCTTTGAACTTGGACTTAAAGCCTCCAAACTGTAAGAGAATAAACTCCTGTTTGTTCAAGTCATCCCATTTGTGATATATTCCTGTCAGAGTGGCACTAGGTAACCAGAACAGGTATATACACTCCTTAGAATTATCAATCATGGCAGAACAGAAGGGCAGTATTTGCATAGGGAGATAGCTCAGGGAGCAGGAATGCATAGGAAAGAAGGACACAGGGAAGAGAGAACTACAGGGAGGAAGTGGGAAGAGAGCTGTTACATTAAGGGGAATTGCAATCTATGTCATGAAACAAAATGGTATGAACTGGTGTATGAAAAATGAATTTGCTCTGTAAATTTTCACTCAAATCACAATTAAAAAGTTTTATAAAATAATGTAACGTGGTTTTTCTCAAATTGGGGTACCCTATAGGTATATGGCTGGTGGTGTAGTGGATAAGGCATTTGGCTGCTGCTAACCAGAAATTCATTGGTTCAAACCCAGTGCTGCTCCATGGAAGATGGAGCCTCAGAAAGATTCACAGCCTCAGAAACCCAATGGGAATCACTACAACTCAATGGCAGTGAGTTTGGTTTTTAGAGTTTTTTAGGAGTATGTGGAAGTGTGCTGGAAGTATATAAAAGCCCAGAATAAATAAGGTACATCTTCCTAGAACGGCATGGGTTATTTTAAGTTTTTTCTTTTGAGGGGGGTGGGTAGTGACATTTTACTAAAACAAGGATTAATGAAAAGAATGCAAACATGCATGGCTTTTGAAGATAAAACATGAGCCATGGGAATGTTTTCCATTTGAAAGACCCCTTCTAGCCATAGCCTCAAATTTCTCTGGGTAGATGATAGATGAGGTTAGAGAAACAGACAGGAAACTCTTCTCTTATGAGGGGCCCTTGTGGAAAACTTTGAGAAGTCTTGATAAAATGCATTTGAAACTCAACTAGAAATGAATGCTATGCATGTTTGTCTCCTTTCTACCTGGAAACTTGAGAGTCAGTCATCATATTGGCTTCACGGCTAATGCAAAGGACACAGAGAGGAAAAGGACCCAGGCTCTGTTCTTGCGTAGCTTACTCCCATAGGAGAGACTCACTTATAAACTAGTTACATGTGGTAAGAAGCCCTGGTGGTGCAGTGATTAAGTGCTCGGCTGCTAACCAAAAGGTCAGTGGTTCTGTGGGAGTAAAAAAACCTGGTGATCTGCTCCTGTAAAGATCACAGCCTATTATAGAACAATCAACCATACTAGATCAAAAGGGCAGCAATTTACTTAGGGATAAAGCTCAGAAGGCCAGAAGGGATAGAAAAGAAGGAAGACTGGAAACAGTTAATGCAGGGAGGAAGTGGGAAAAGACCTGTTATTTTGTGGGGAATGCAATCAATGCCACAAAACAAAATGTTTGTGTATGAAATGTTGAATGGAAAACCAATTCACTTTCTAAACTTCCATCCAAATCACAATAAAAAGTTAAAATAAAAAAAAAATTATAGCCTAGGCTTCCCTGTGGGTAGTTCTACTCCATACTATAGGGTTGCTGTGAGTCAGAATCCACTTAACAGCACACAACAACGTTAGATATAAGAGAGCAGTGACTCTCTGACCTGTAACCCCCATTCTCCCAGGCCCAAGTTATAATCTCAATAAGCACCCTCAATACTTCTCCACACTCCTTTCATCAAACCTCTCACCACTTCTGTCAATCTCACTTCACTTTATTTCTGGAAACCATTCCATGCTCTTCTAGTCTCACTGTCCATGGTGCAGTGAATTACTTGGTATGACTTTTCTAGTAAAAGTCTTTGTAACTCCCACCAGATTACTGGGTGGGACCATGCAAATAAGGTGTGTAGAACTCTGATGTTGGGATTCATTAGTTTTGTCACTCTGCCAGGCATAAAATGAGCCTTCCTAGAGGCAGAATGGGATCTCACTGCCAGCAAGAGAGAAGAGCTGGAGGTGAAGGTGTGTCCTTGGACCCAAGATCCCTGCACTGGAACTCCTAGGCAGAGACACTCAGCAGAGAGAGACACCCTGGAAGAGAGAGATGCCTGGCAGAGACAGATGCCTGGCAGAGACGGTTGCAGTGGAACTAAGAGGCATAAGACAAAGCTGTAGGCTTAACTGGCCCACAGAACGAGAAAGCTGAGTGCCCTTAGGCAAGAGGCTTGCTGACAGAGTGGGGTGCACCCAGGTGTACCTATCAGAAGAGCTAAAATAGCTTTGTAACACTTGCCCAAGCAGGGCTGAGTCCAGGCCAAGAGGCCAAGGGCCAGAGAGGCGTGTCTGAGGGCACAGTAGAGGGGAGAATGTTTTGATCAAAGAACTGTATCCTGATTGTGTTCCTGAACCCAAATTGCAGTCTGTTACTTCCGTAATAAACTCCATAATCGTGAGTATGGGTTGTGAGTTCTGTGTCACCACTGCAATGAATTATCAAACCCAGCAGAAAAGTAGTGAGTCCCATGGGAGGGACGGCTGGTGTCAAAGTTAGTGTAAAGGTTGGAGGGTGGCAGTATGTCTAGCATCTTAGGAATAAGCCTTGGGCTGCTGATGGTGACTCTGTTTCCCCTTCATGAGATTGGAGGAGGTCAGAAGATGCCACTCCTTGTCCTTTTTGCACTGCCACAGCTTTAATAAAAGCTCTCATCATTTCTCTCCTGCTGCAACAGGCCTACAGTCTCTTTAGCTTCCAATTCCTCCATCCACTCCCAATCAGGTTACACTTATAAAATGCACTGTTTAAAACCTACTGATTCTCCATTCATCTGTTTAACAAAACTTGATTAAATATCCATTATGTATCTCCCTGACTAATGTTTAAATTCTAGCATGCATACAGGTCTTAATGATCTTTTTGTCAAGCTTCAGCTGTCACTATTCATCCTCCCTACAGGACTCCCTTCCTCGACACTTTTTCAGTTTCCTGAGTAACCCACTCTATTGCTTGTTATAGATGTTGTTTTCCTCTTCCTTGAATGCTATTACTCCCCTTGTGTCAGGCAAATATCTATAAAAATTCAGTTCATGCTCCCTATCATCCATGACACTTAACCAAACTCCTTTAAGTGCTTGTAAACTCTGCACTTTGTATACACTTCTATTATGGTTTTATCATTTGTATTTATCTGTCTATGTCTCCTTCTAAATTATGAGCTCCTTAAGGATTGAGTACTACTTGCATTACTCATCTAGATTACTCAGTATTCAGAAAAATAATCACTGTAAAAGGAAGGAAAGTGAGACCAATATGGGGTATGTGTATGAAGAAAGATTTTATGATATTTATTATTATATTGAAGTAAGAGTATAAAGAGTGAAGATAGAAATTATTCCAAGCAAGGCCAACAGCATTGCCAAAGTTATGGGAGTATGACAGCTCACGGGAGTTCAAAGAGCCTGTTCGGCATGGCTGGTTTAGGGTGTGTGATGGGGAGTGGTAGGGAAAAAGCTAAAAAAGAGAGGTTGGAGTCTCATCATGAAGAGCTTTGAGTCACATGCATGAATGCTCAGGTTTGGGGAGTGATGAAGACTCTGAGTAGAGACCA